GAAAGCACGGCACATGTGTTTGCCATTAATCGTTACCAGCTTTTAATCCCAGTCCCACCTTCCCTGTGGTAGTTTCCCCTGGGTGGAAGGGGGCCGGTGGCTGAGAGATGTGGGGTTGTGTGTGCATGAAGCATGAGATGTGGTCTGCTGAGAGCTAGCATCACTCTCCCTTATGATCCTTGCTGAATCCTGCCGGCTCCTGGTCCTCCAGGGTTGGGAAACACAGCCCAGAGCCTGCAATAAAAGACACCACGCAGCAAGGAGTCAATCCTGAAGCCATCCTGGGTGGTGGGTATTGCCAGTGTGCCCCTGGGCTGCCTCGCCGGCACTGGCCAGGAGCCCCACAGCAGCTGTGTGTCCTGGCTTGGGGTCAGGACAAGGCTTCCCCAGGTAATGCCTTCTCTGTTCCTCAGGTGATGGCAAAGAAGAGCCAGATCATATCAGAAAGTGTGGCTTTGATGCTTGGTTACCATTGCTAAAAATATCTGTACTTAAAGAGATACCAGATCAGTGCCACCAGCTCCATTGTAGGGTCTTAAACCAGTACCTGGCATTGCAGTGTGTGCATTTGATGGGAAGAGAATCAAAACACCATGACCTCTTTTGCAGCATCCAGTTTTGTCTGTTTTTCTGGGTTTAATGAGGTAGCTGATGGAAATTGGAGGTCCTCCCTTTGCCCATTGCAACACTAGGATGAACCCCTCAGTGATCTTAAATTCATCCTCTGGCTGCCCTTTCCTCATGACTAGAGTGAAATGAGGCAATAACCTCATTTGATTTGCACATTCCACAAAACTTGCCAGTGAGGTTAGAGACCTCTGGGCAGCTGATTTAAGCCTGATGATTCTGGGTTGGTTTCTTCTTCATAAACTGCATAGAGGTATGCTGCAGACCCCCCAGCTTGGAAACCACTGGCGTAGGTGAATATTGGAAAAATTGTGCTGGTGGATTTAAAGAAGAAACAATCTGTTCATGCAGTATGAGAGATACAAATATGAGCTAACAGTGTGGCTGTATGGCTTTATTTTTGAAACTGTGCAAGTAGAGTTACATTCTAAATATGGTACTTTGGGCCCAGTTCCTAATGAGATCCCAGATATGGCAGAGTACAGGCATTTCAGCAAAAAGGACTAAAGCTAATCAAGTGAACTTCTCATGAGCTGAGAACTTAAAGAACATAGCGTGTGTCACTCATGTCCCAGAGGTGAGCACAGACTGATAGCAGAGTTCATGAAGAGAAAATACTGTGTGTGAAAGCATGATGCGGACCTGAGCTGTGATCCAAAGAGGGAAGCAGTTGGATTTATGGACTTTAACATCTGCGCTATTAGAGTACCTATTAACAAATTCTGTAGATTATTCCGACTAAGCATCTTGAATTTCTTGGAAAATTGGTTTTCTGAATATTGCTAAAATTGAGTTGTCTTTTGTTTTTCAGGAAGGAAAAGAATGGTAACAGTCAAAAGATTTTGGACAACACTTTCTTAGAATCTAGGTAGCAAAATGGCCGCTTTGTTGGGTTTGGATTTGACAATCTGATACTGGCATTGGCCCGAAAAGTTAATAGTTCTCTGCTCTTCTCCTGCGCAATAATACTAATACAGACAGATACATGTCCGCAGGGGATAGTGTCACTGCCTGGACAGTACATGCTCACACTTACCAAAGCTGTGAGCCAAATGAAGCCCTGAAGGCTATTTAATCACCTAAATTGAAGCTTCATTTTCCTAAGTGCTGTGGTTGTAGTGACTTTCATGGAAGCCAGTAGGTTTAACTCATTATTTTAGTTTCCTTTTTTTTTAATATTGCTTTCCAATGCGTTTTGTTGTCTTTTGGTTTATTTTGTTCTTGTTGTTTTATTTTTTGTTTCTTTATTTCCAGTGGGATTGTTCTTAAATAACAAGTTTTATAATCGGACTGGTAGAGGTGTTACACTCACAACATTATCTATGGGCAAAGAAGAAACACCTTATAGATAAAGCCAAGAATTTATTATTAGAATCATTTAAATTTTAACAGTGTAATTGAAGAATCATTATTAGTTGAGATCTAATTATTACAGAAAATAATACTTCCGTGCAGAAAAAGTCTCAGTAGTAATAATAATGTCAAAATTGTTATACACACACTTCTTCATTTCTTCTGCTTTTCCTGGTGTTTTGTTAACCCTCCCCCTGCTCCTGAGGGTTCTGAAATGGGCAGTTTCCGTCTGGTGGGGGTTGGTGGGGGCATTACGGTGTGCCATTGGCATCTGGAGTCCTTTGCTGGGAGGAATTTCTTTTTTCTCACTGTAGGATCTACTTAAGGTGATTTTTGTGTTTGCTAACACACTTTCAGAGCTGAAGCTCCACATTACAGCCGAGTTTACTATACATCGCACATTTCACGGATGTCAGATACTCCTTTGTTCTCCTTGTTACCCCTACGAGGAGTTTTGTCCAGCCCCAGTTTTGCATTTCTTTAGCTGACCGCTGGTGAGTTGTTTATAGCTGTGGGGTCTCCAGTGCCAGCCTGTGCCCATCTCTTATCATCCCCTGTCTGCCCTCCTCTGTGCCACAGCCTGTGTCTCCACTGCTCGATGCTGCTGCTATCCCACCAGGCCGGTATTTCGGTACACTACATAATAGTGTTAAAGTTGTAAAAAGGGAAACAAAAATACCAAAAAAATTAGCTGTAGCCACCTGGTCAATTAGAAAAGTTGCCGTTGCGGTTGAAGGAGGTAAAGCAAAGCTGTGGGCAGGTCAGGAAGGGTTCAGACAGGGCAAGCCTGACAAGCCTCGGTCCTGAGACCTTGCAAACTCAGCACACAGCCTGGGACCTGTTACTAGCAATGGGAATACCATATTACGGGGCTGCGGGCTAACAGAGGTCATGATACAATTCAGGCATGCTTCACAGTATGGGGTATTTGTGTAGAAAATGTGAAATAATGTACACGTGAAAGGTAGCCATAGTTTGGAGTGTCAAATACGTATTTTTCTAGTGGGCTCTCCACTCACCTGTCTGTTATAATATAAAGCGTAGCACACTGTTGCAGTTGGAGCTCTCTGTTTTGCTTTTGTTTTATGAAATATTTTCCAGTCCTGGTGGTTGTTTGCTGAGACAAATAATACAGTAACTTGAACATCAGACAGAACTGGCATTCTAGTTACTTATTATCAGGTAATACTCATACAGATCAGTAAAAATGCTGAACTGTTTTATAAAACTCAGGTGCAAAGACACAGTCCGGTACAAAATTCTGTACAAATTAGCTGTAAATCAGCAAAAGGCACTGTAGGAGCACTGGGACAAGGCAAGAGCAGAAGGCCAGATTTATGATCCCATGTTTATTTATTTCTAATGCAGAGTCCACAGCTCTCCATTTGTTTATCTTCAGGAATATGTAATGTATTTCTTCCGTCTTATTCCTGAGTGAGAGTATGTATGAATTAACATGAGACACAAGTCCAGAGATGTGTATTAGATACTGTGAACTGAGAGAGTACACTCATAAAATTTTTATCTTTGGGCACTTTTTGAATGTCTGCCGACTGCAAGGGGCCGGTTGCAGATGCAGTGTAAGGGGTTGTGCAGCTGAGCAGTTATTACCATACCTCGTGAGCGGGACTGCATGCGTTGCATTAGTGATAAGGGAAAAAGAGAGCATCCTTATTTCTCTTCTGCGTCTGTAAATTGGCACTTTCTGTATCACTGTGAACATTAAGAACCAGGTACAGAGGGTCAGGTTTTCTCCTTGCTTGTACTTCTGTTAATCTGTTTAACTCAGTATCATGATATGTTAGCACAAATCAGCTGTGGTTAGTGTTTGGGCCATGCTATACCCTGCTGATAAAACCCTTCCACTGCAATTGGAAGTGGAATTGCAGAGCAATTCTTGGAAGTTAAGTCATATATAGTGATTTACCTTTCAGAGATGATTCTTAGTTTTGAATTTATTTATTTTTTTCATTACGCGGGTGGGAAACTTTCCAGCCTTATAAAACTGAAAAGAATTGGAATTGGTTCTCTCGGGGAGATGACTGTGCTGGAATGGTTTTCATGTGAAGGAAGCACAAGTCACAGAGCTCCTCACATTTCAGATTCCTTTATCTTACTTTCAGCAATTCGGGTGTTTGTTGCACTAGCTGGTGGGGTACAAACCCAGGTGTATGCACGGGAACAGGGCCAGTATGTTTTTAGCAGCAGATCACCACCAGCCTGCGGCACACAGTGGAACCACTCTGGCAGTAATCATACTGATTCTAGCACTTAGTGCTAGACTTTCCATTTTGGCTGTAATGAGCCGTGCTATGATACCCATCTTCAAGTGACCAATGGTGGGTGCAGATAACCAAGCAAAAAATTCCTTTAAATGCAGCTCCTCCTCAGCTGGGTAACCGCAAGCTACCAAAATATGCATAATAAGAGGTAAGAACTTCCATGTTTCCCGCATTACCTTGTCAGCTGAAATACAGCAGTGGAGAAAACTGTGTTTGGATTGATTCAGACAGATTATGCTGAAGGGCCTGCACTTGCAGGGAGCGTTTATTCAGATGTGTTAAGGCCAAATACTGAAAATACCCTATAAGTTGAACAAGTAGAATACAAATATATGAAAAGTGTGAAGTGTTCGGGCCTCCTTTGCCAATTCCTTGCCCGTAAACTGTTTGCCAAATTAGTAACAGAAGTTGTAACCAGTATTGCAAGGTTGTTATATAGGTATTCAGATGCTTAGACTATTTTGTACTATCAGCTGGTACACTGGCTTCAGTATTGTCATTCTGAAGTGAACTTTTAAACACATAATTACATGGAGCTGAAGTAAAAATCATATTGTAATATCTAATATAAACAAGCTATTCTATTTCAAGTGGTTCAGTCAAACTTGAAGTAAGAAAATCCAATAATGGGAGGCTTAAAAATAGAACCTTTCCCTGTTGTTAATTTAAGCCATTTTAAAGGGCAAAAATATACCATTAAAGCTTTTATTTAGGATCTTACTTTTCTTTTTTTAACAGGACTGGGAGTTTCCACATTTTATGGGTGATGTTGAAGTGAATCTTCCAGGCTTGCCGTCTGCACACATGCAGTTCAAAGTACCCTATTTCCAAAAGATCTTCAAAGAGGAATATCACATACATATAACAGGTATGTAATCTTACAGATTGTGACACAGCCACACAGTGAACTGCTTCTGTGTAACAGATGTATGCTAACGTGTTCTTAACCACATACTTTTTTTGTGTGTGTGTCCCAGATTACGATTTTTCCTATATGTTTATCTGTCTGTATCCATATATAAACATCTTGGAGAAATGAGGAACCTGTATCTTATGAATCAGAGAGATCTGCTGTTTTTTATGGATTTCGGCAACTCCTCGTGACACTAAGTAATACCTTGCGTAGCTTCAGAGATCTTTTATCTAAAATTACTCTCCAGAGGAATTAGCGGCTTATTTCATTTTCAAATCTCTTACGTGTTCAGATGCCTTTGCTATGATTTATGCTAATATCTTTTCATAACTTCGGTCATTCTCATCTGGCAAAGGCCACTCGTAACCGTACTTCCATCAGTCATCTAACCAGAAGCAGACAGTTAAATAACCTCAAATAAAATAGAATTGCAGTTATTCAAATGGATGGTACATATAGATAAAAAGTACCTGATCCTTGCATACTGTGAGACAGTATTTTAATAACAGTAGGGAATGAAAAAGAGAAGAAGGTTAAATAGGGATAAATATTTTGCTTTTACCTTCAGGCTATGCACAATAAGCATAGCTTCTCTCTATATTGGGAAGAAGTGGATAATAATGGATAGCAAAAGAATGCAGGTGTGAATTGACAGGAGTCTTTAACTGCTAATATAAACAATCACAGCACATAATACTGTACAGGAGTAAGACAGATGAGAGCATCCAGTGGCACAGTCATATGAAACTCCTGCAGAGCAGGGACAAAAGGAGCATTCAGATATGATACAAAAGTGAGGCCAAGAGCTAGCAGGTGAGTCACAAGCTCACCAGGCAGCAAAAGCCAAAGGAGGAAAATGTGCCGAGGAGGAAAGAATGATGAACCCAGGACTCAGTTGAGATAGGCTGAATGAGGCCTCAGAGAAAGCATTTTCAGCAGAGAAGGAAGAAATCTGCGTGATCAGATTAAGAACCAGAAAAGAAGAGAAAATGAGCGCAAAAGTTACCTGCTGGCTATTGAATGAGGGAAGGCAAATGGGCCAGTAGGAAGTACAGATGGAGGGATGGAAAGTTTTTAAAAATTGGCTGTAGGTGCTCTGCTGGAATACTGATAGAGATCAGCCAGACAGTAAGAAGACAGAAGTGCTGCGGCATGCCTGAGTGAGACCATTTGAGCCACTGGTGGTTTATGGAACAACAATCTCATGGTCAGTGACTAGAAGGTGTAGAGTGAGAGAAGATGGGATGTTTTCATGATGAACACATTTTTCTCTCCCAAATGAGCAAAAAGAAAAAGGAGAGGGAAAAAAAAAAGAGTGTAAGCATCAAATATTTGATGCGAATTATAGGCATGATCTTCAGGGATAGGGAAAAATATTTTTTTGCTCAAAATGTTTTTTGCTCAAGACTAGAGCATGAATTTGGAGGGACTCAGTCCCACAAGGTTCCCAGGTGTCCTGCACTTATTCCATTGTATAAGGAGAAGTAGTGGAATGGGTGCACAGACATGTGAACAATGACTGAGGCATGGTAGGGTTGGCTGCACCATCATACAGAAACTCGCGATATAATCAATGTAGATGAAAAACAATGGGTGATAGAAGAGGGACTGAAAAGCAAAGAACAGTTTTGCATTATAGAAGAGACAGGGATATCGATGACAATCAGGGAAGAGCAAAGAATAAGCAACAGCAAAGAACATAAATTAGGGATCAGAAATACAACTGCTAGCAGTGCTGCTGTTTGAAAACAGACCAACCGCGATAAACCAATATTTATGCATTGTAGAGTCTTCTGCAGAGAGGACTGGAGGCCTTTCTGATTTTCTGGCAAGAAGGCATTCTTTTAATGAGGATGAGCTAATGAATAGGGGCTGAGGAATATTTTTCCCTGCCTAACATTAACAAGATCCATTTATTAGATTCACTAGACAAATCAATCCATTTGACTGCACATCACATAGTCTGTCTACTGAGTGCCTGTTTTATCTCGGTGCTACACCACCCTTTAGGAGATCTAATAAACAGCCGTAACACATGGCACAAGAACCTCCCTTTGGGTAAGTTTTGCTCAAACCATCTGTTCTTGCTATCAGTTCTTGTCTTAGGTTAGGGTATCATCTTGGATCATTTTCAAGCTCTAGTTACTGTGTGGATGTGTAGATACTTGTAATTTTCTACTCAAATCAAGGAGCTAATAAAAGAAAGAACGAACTGGTACAATATATGTATGACAAGACGAATGTAATCCAATCTGAAGTGAGGGTAGAGCGTGATGCACATGAATGCAACTGCAGCAGACGACACGGGGGTAGGACATTGATAAGGGCAGGAAGCCTGCTGTATTTAGGCCCTGTTTAATACGTAGGATCCAGAGTGTTAAATTTAACCATAGGACTTCTTTCTAGTAACAAGCAGCAAAAGACGACTAAGGCTTGAATATCGTTTATTTTAGTACTTGCTGTAGGGACGAAATCAGGCTGTAAATCTATGAGCTGTGCCCTGATTTACAAGGAACTGGAAAACCTTTTCTCCCAAGTAGCAAGGAGAAAGAAAGCATGGCTGAAATACCATTTACCGTCTTTTTCCTGGCAAATTTTGTTCTTCATAAGTTCTTTTACAGTCTGTTTCGGTCACTGTTGATTGGTATAAAGAGCAGCTCTAGGACTCACCTGAGCAGCCCTATTCAGTGCTGTGTTGCTCTAATGAGCAACGGTCCCACAAAGAAGCAGTAAAGGGACATTCAGAGGAGTAAAGGACTTCAAACCGCCTTTCTGTTGCTGTGTGCTTAATGGCTTCATGCAAGTTCTGTACAGACGAAGGATTTCAGTTACATGATCTGTGTTGCCAGTTCTCCTGATTTTGTCACAAGTTTTGAAACAGTTGGATTTTTTTCTTTTGGGTGTTTTTTTGTTGCTATTTTGTCTTAAAGTCTTAGCTCCTGAATTCAGTGACCGTGTGAGAATTTCAGCTTTTATATTTTAAAAAATAAAGCTCATGACTGCTGAGAAAAAAATGAAATGTTGCTTCTCCATGTCTAAAAAAGCAGATAAATAAAACAGTACTAAGTGTATTATTTTTAACCCATCTTGCTACTTCAAACTAATAACATGGTTTCTTAGGCCTGACTTGTGGTTTCTGAGTACTGTAAGTCATCAGTAATGTTGAATTAACATCTGCAGCCTGTAGCTGATATGCTTCAGTGTAATTTTAAATTTACTATCAAAAGCATATCTTATTTTTACTGGTAACTGAGTACCATGTTTTACTCAAATTTCTTTGCATCTAGGAACTCCTAGCAAGCATCTACTCAGTATTAAATATTTTTATCCTGTTTTGATAGCTGCTTTTATCTATGAACATCAAAAATAACTTGAATTCCTGCATCTTCTTAACTCATCTGGTTTTCCCTTGACAGATGGTTCACTGTAATGTGTGTGTTTTCCTTCTTGGGCTGCTTTTTATGAAAATACATAGACTATCCTAGTTTCTATAATACCCAGGGAAATCTGTAAAACTTAAAAGTAAATTTTGTTACTTCAGATTCTTTCATGGTTAAAAGGCACTAGGGGGCATGACTGATACCCTTTAATAGCAGGACTTGTGATCCAAGAGCATCTGCTGCGTGGGTAAGTTTCAAATAGGAAATGTTAAGGTTTAGGTATCAAAACAGATGGGAGATTTTTCTGGCTGCTTATAAACATGTTTCTGAGTGCTGATCTAGCCAGAGTGCCCTTCCACCCAAAGGAGAAATCATCACCTTCATGCTGGTGAGCGCCTAGCATGGCTGGCTTGTGGAGTTAAACCAAAAGCGTATCTAGATTCAGGACATGGGGAAGCCTGAGGGAGCCCATGGGCAGAAATAGAAAGGTCAGAGGTAAAAACAAAGCTGTCTGTGCACACAGATGTGGAAAAACCTCAGAGGATTTGCGGCTTAGTTCAGCTGTGAGCAGTCTGTATGCATGTATGTAGCTAATAATACTAACATGACAGAAGATATGAAGAATGTTTCAGAGATACCTGAATGTTTTACAGAGGTGTCTGAATGTTTTTAGTCACAAAATGCAATTCAACTGAGCGTCTAAAGTCAACATTTCCTACGGTAGCCTCTGGCTGTGGTTGCACAGCATGAAGCCACTTGAGCCTAGCCTTAATGAGTGGGATTTTCACATTTCCTCTTGACCTCTGGAGAGATGCTGAGGACTGGCTTCTATATGAGATCTTTGGTTTTTAGGCCATGACTGCTCTGTTACAGAGTGGACATACAAAAATAAAAATGTTCCAGAATCATCAGCCGGTGTGGGATATTTGGACCTGCGGGATCTGCCTCAGGTGCCCAGCAGATCAGTTGCATGCGGGATTGTGGACTAGTTGCTGAACCACTTGTAGGTCTTATCAGCCTCTTTAACAGTGAGCACTGCCCAAACATACTGTTCAGCTGGCAGAAATAGGTGCATTTCTGGAAAAAGGAAAATCCATACCACTTTCACCACAAGAAAGACCCTATCCTGGCATTCACGTGCAGTCCACGTTTGTTGTTCAGCTTCAGCGTAGAGGGGAGAGTGTTTCTAAGCAGAGTGCTGTTGTCCTGGTTTGAGGCTGGTGTTCAGAGCACGGTCCTATGATGCAGGTCCAAACTGCCATAAGTGGAGAAGTGTCAAGGTTTCCCATCTGGTGAGTGCCATCCTCCTATCTGGAGGATACAATCCTCCTCAACAGCCACGCTTTCTCTGAAAATAGGGATCAAGTTTTCATCCCCAAATAGTGGTTGTAGGCTACAAAGCCTAAAAAAGAGTGTCACGTTCTGCATCACAGCCTCAGAGAGGCACCCAGTATACGCTCTTGACTAGTTAGATGCCTCCAGTTTTTCTTTTGGGGGATCCTTATTGCACCAAATTTCAGTATTTTACCATATTTCCCAACACACCAAACCAGATTGCTGACTCCAAATATCATGTGTAGCATGTAAGAACTTCAGCGCTGTGAACAGCAGTCATCAACCAGGTCATTTTTAGGTAGTGCATGGCTGAGTGCCACAGCCTGTTTTACCTTTCAGTTTTCTTCATTGTAACTTCATTGAAGAGTCTGGGTATAATTCTCTGTGGGAATGATTGACTAACCTTCCGATCTTGACAGCTGATCTTACTACATCCTTCCATTTCAAATTGTGTCTATGAAAAATCCACCAGCTTCAAGAAGGGCTGAATGGTGCCAGGTACATGCCAGTACAGACCATACAGACCTCACTGGAGTAGAATGAACCCTAGGGCAATACTGGTATTGATCCTACTGAAATTGGTTAAGGGACAAATTAAATGACTTCATAATGTGGGACTCCATTTTCCCTTATGATGTTTCATCTGTAATGACATTTGAAGTGCTTTCAAATAAATTACAAATAATTTTTAAAAGAAAATAAATATCTATAGCTTCATAATATATTTATTCTGACTGTTCACAAAGCTATAAGCTTGAGCTTGTTTATGCACAAGATGAGAGGTCAGGAGTGACTTCTAGTTTACCAAGCTTATTTCCTATATAGGCTTGATATATGACTTAAAGTTTGCTTTAAAAAACATTGTGCTAATATTAAGTTGCAATATACAGTCATTTCATGTACATAGGTTATACACATGTAATGTTAAAGTTTGGTCAGTATTATAAATCTCAAAAATGACTTGTCCTGGGGAATTATCGAATAGATGTTTTGTGAGTGGAGACAGTCAGGTCTCTTAGTTCAGTCTGCTTCAGCGTGTTTATCACTTGATCCAGAAGGATTGCTCAGCAAATTTGGCTTATTTGGCTATCACGCCTGCTAGTACAGCAGTAAAGTACGTGTTTTGGAAGAGGGAAAGACAGCAGAGGACATTGTATTCTAGAAAGAGGCAAATACTTTCTGTAAGTAACCAAGACAGCACTAACTCCCAGTCATTTTGTGTCTAAGGAGATTAACGCAGCCCTTGGCTACAGGGAGTACTGAGGAGGTATAGGAAGATGTCATTGTGTTCATATATGGATATAGTGAGACTGTTACTCATATACAGTGTTTGCTTCGGATGACAGCAGTGTCCAAAAGAAAAGGAAAAATCATAGAGTTCATCAAGTGTGACAGTGATGGAGAGGATGGAAAAATTGTCTAGAAATGAGAAAGTTAAGGAGTTTTGAGAAGATCCACTATGGAATAGAGGCAAGTCCCAGGCAACTAGCTGCCACTTAGACACACAGGTTGCGGTTCATCTTAGTTAACTGGGGTTTCTGCATCGAAGCTGTTAATCTAAGCACTCTTCATGGCCCACACTGACCCAACAACCCCGACAGCAGAGCTTAGGGCTGTGCTCCTGCCTGCCTAGCTCTCTCTAGGAGCTGAGTGAGGGAGTTTCAAGTTCATGCGGTTTATGAAACAGGAATAATTGAAATGCATCTCTCTCTCGTATCAGGTGAGCACTCAAATTGTTAACATGAGGGTGGAGTCTTTTTTAAACAGATCCATCTTAGAAGAGATTCACAATTATGAAACCACAGTGTAGCATAGATACTACATGAAGCCTGAGATCAAACAACTGGCTACCTCTGTTCAGCATTTGCAGTGTTTTCTGCTAGCTTCTTAGTCAACTTCTTCACCAGCTGCAGGCTGCCATCTCAAGTCCTACTCCTTAGGTGGCTTGCTCTACACATGCCACATTTAAGATAATGTGATTGCTGTGACATCTACTGGGTGCCATCATGCCTAAAGAGGAGGTACGTCATAGCTCAGCATTGCGATGTCTACATTTCCTTTGTCAGTCATACCTGAAACCTACAATCTAGAAAACCGGAAGTGTCTTTTGGCCTTTATAAAGGCCATCACAGTAACGTCCCTATTTCATTATGCTTTCTATTTTGACCTTTCAATTGTCTTTTTTTCTGCCTACACATCTTCACTCTTGCCATGTCTAGCTGAAAGGAAAGAGCAATACTGGTCCTACATGAGTTTTTCCCCTTCCTACTATCCCTAGGGTCTAGCAGATCTCTCTGGAAGGTCACCTGTGCTGGTTCTGCAGAAACGCAAAGTACCACAGATGATAATATTTTGATGAAGCCAAAACCAAAAAGAAGTGGAAGGTCTTTTTGGATGGTCTTATGATGCATTTTCCTGGGAAAAGAATACGTAATTAATCTGGGGGCAACGCAGCAAGGGTTGCTTTCTGGTTGAAACAGCTTACTGGTTGAAACACAGAGTAATATCTGATGACAAATTGTTTCAAAAACTGCCCAGGAGAACAACCATAACAGAGAAAGGAAGTTTTGAATGCAGTAAATCATGTTTTCTTTCAAACTGGCTGCAGATAAACAGATGATGGTTCTAATATTTGTTTCATTGTCATTTGTGTTTACCCTATTTTCCTAAGGAAATGAGAATTATGTGATCATGTTCTCTGTGTGGTTTGGTCTCACTCTCTCTCTATCCAACACTCAGTCAGCGTCAAATAACTTTTGAACCCACAGCCAGCTTCAAAAACATTTTTCAGAGGGTGGGAATCTGAAAAATAGTGACATTATCATTGTGTCCTAAGAAGTGGTGGTTAGGTAAAGGAGAATCATCTACGGTAGTGCCCAGTTGAGGAAAAAGCAGGAAGAAGTCCGCTGCTATATTCTGTTTGACAGCAGCCAATTGATCAGTGAATATGTGTGTCCCAGCCAGCCCATCAACACACACCATGCAAGATATATTCTGTCTCTGTCTGTTGAAAGGTCATACGTGGTGGGGAAGCTCAGGTTATTCTGGTGGAGAGGAACACAGGAAATACAGGGCAGAAATCCACAGGAAACAGCATCAAAGTAGATTGTATTGTTTGTTATTGTGTTTCATATTTTAACATCATTTTCAGTGTCTTGGTGTTGATTTAAAGAACTTAAATATTATAAAATATAGTCATAAATTTCTAAACCCATAATTTTCTTTAAAAAGTCAATTATAATATTGATGGAAACCCAGAAAAAAAAAGATAGAAGAGTTATTCAGGAATTAAGCGAACAGGATTGGCTGCAAGGTCTTTTCAGTGCAGTTTGATTTCTGGATAGTGACAATAACACAAGAGAATGAACATTGTTGTTCATTTTCAGTCTAAGTGTAATCTATATTGAAGAGGACTATTAAACACAATTGCTGAAATAGGAGGAATTACCGTCCTTACCCTCCTGGAGCATTCTGGTCCTACAATTTGAACACAGACTTTCAGGAACTGGAATCCATTTATTCTTTATGATAGATACTCTGATACTTTCATTTTCTTTTTCACTTGAAACACATTTAAATATGATTCCAGTATAGACCAATAAAATTCATCACCAGCAGGAACATTCCTCCATGAATGTTCTTTTACATAATGCTGACATGTAGGTGTGCTGGGTTTTTGGGTAGTGCCAGTCTTCACTGCACAGGTAAGACCTTAATATATGTCCAAAAGGATATATTTTTTTGATCTGAGTAGCTTTTACGTATGACTGCATTTGTACTGCTTCTAAAATGGATATATCAGATGACAGAACTTTCTTCTTCCAAACAGGCAAATGGTTCAACTATGGAATTATCTTCCTTGTTTTAATCTTGGATCTGAACATGTGGAAGAACCAAATATTTTACAAACCTCATGAATATGGTCAATATATCGGTCCCGGACAGAAGATCTACACAGTGAAGGACTCAGAAAGCTTGAAAGACCTTAATAGAACTAAGTTATCTTGGGAGTGGAGATCAAATAACACTAACCCATTGACCAACCGGACCTATGCTGAAGGAGACATGTTCTTGCACAGCAGATTCACAGGCTCTAGCCTCGATGTCAAATGCCTGGCTTTTATTCCAAGTTTGCTGGCTTTTGCTTTGTTTGGTTTCTTCATCTGGTTCTTTGGGCGATTTCAGAAAACTGACCAAGGCATGGAGAATTTAGACAAATCATACACAAGAATGAAACGAAAGTCACCGTCAGATATGGGAATGACACGAGAAAACACACAGGTGTTAGTAGAAGAACCATTAAGTTTTCAAGAACCACATCTCGTATCCATAAAATCAGACTTAAGTGAAATAGTTTTTAATTCTTCTCTCCTAACTTCTGAAAACTTGAACGCACAACTGAATGAGCAAGATAGCCCTTTACAGCCAGTACCAGAATCCTCTGTCCCTAAGAGTAATCCTGTGACATAGAGGGAAATACCCAGGAAAATCAGTTTAAATAAGCAGTTACTATAAGATTTCAGTTTTACCTTTTGTAAGTTAAGATTTACATAGTGTTTAGAATAAGAAACTCAACCTATACCAAAAGGTGCTCAGCATGCTTTTTCTAGGAATTTTGTTTTTTATTTGTATTATAGTACGTGCCTACTGTATATCTAACATTCCTTTATAGATTGCTTCCCAAAATTGCACAAGCTATTTATTAATACATTACCTTAACTGTATAATAGTGTATTAGATGATTACTTGCAGGTATAAAATTCTACCGTGGTGGTGCCTTGAGACATTAAACTGTTTTTTAACTCAACACCAGATGTATAGCACAGTTCTTCTAATCTACTTTGCAAAGCTTTTTTCTATATGGTTATTTCAAGTATCATTTGATGTCTCGACAGAGGAGATAAATATAATTATTCCTAAAAAAGGGTTTCTGTTAGGACATCACAACTTGACTTTGTTATTTACTCATCTCTGAAGTCAGTGACTTTGATGACCGGACTGCAGAGAAGCATGTTGATTACCTTTTAATTTTTTCTGGCTAGCTGCCAAATACAAATACAGATTCATTATGCAGTAAACAGCAGAGTGATAATACAGCATGGGTCACTTCTTGTGAAAATATGACTTTCTCCATCAGTAATAGCAATTAGGTGATAATGCCTAATTATATTTTTTCTAATTAAAGATAAACTGCTTCTTGATGAAAAGTTTTGCCCTTCACCTTTTAGAAATAGAGGTGAAAATACATGGTCGAAGCAACTCTTTCCATCATCACACCAAACCTATGCAGCATCAAAGAGCCAATAGAGTGATTACAGTAAAGGACACAAAGCCCATTAAATCCAGTATTTGTGTGGTTCGGTGCAGATATGGTCTGGGCATACATGAAATATACACAGAAACACACCACATATAGAAAGTCTAACTTCTCCAAATACTGAAGTAATATTTAGAGTTTTTAATTAAAATAGATTAATAATTGAATTTTATTGTAACTTTTTTTTTTTCTTCATTCATTATCCGTGAATAAGTGTAACCTGGAAGCAGAAACATAGAGAAACTGCGTTTTTTTTGCTTTTTTGAAGGCGACTTTGTGATGTGAATTCCTCTGCTCTATGATCAAACTATACATACGAGAGAAATTGCGTATCTAAAACATCAGAAAGACTCTGATTTGCCTCTAATTTAGTTCTATAAATTGTTGCTACAACTTACTAAATAATAAGTCATTTTTAAGTCTGAATTATTTCCTTGTCATTTACTGGTGTTGCTGTATTTTGTCTTTGTGACTTTTTTATCTCCGTTGTTTTGATCTATCTGCTTTTAAGTTTTTGGAATGCTGAATTTAGCATGCATAATAGAACTATGCATTTATTAAACTGTCACTTGAGAGCCAATTTTAATAAACATCATTCAACAATTGTTTATTATGAGGCAGGAACATATTCTGTTAGTTTTGCAATTTTTTTTAAACATTTATCCATGCATTGTCCTATTTAAAATCATAAATATTTCCGACACTAAAAAAGACAGGCAGTATCACAGTAATGTCAAAATCAAATATTTTGCTTATGGAACATTTAATATCTTGTCAGGAGAAAGTTCACTTTATAATCAGACTAAATTTTTATTCATTAAAAATTATGACCGAAAATAAATGTATTCACTTTTGCCTACTGCAGCCTATAAACTTATTTAATTGACTTAAGATATAGTCAAAGACAAGCCATTAATTACTAATAGTAAAACACTGTGACATCCTGCTTGAGTATATAAGAGGTGACTATATTGATCTTTGGCTTTCAAACAGCGTTTGATTTCTTAAGTAGTTACGGAAATAGCTGGTTAATTTTGCACTTACATGCTTCTCTGTATGTTCTGGACACTAAACCCAAGTACTGAAAAACTCCCATTAACTCATTTCTCCTTTTTGTGCATGGGAGTGGTTAAATCCATTAATACGTAGGCAGAAAATGAAGGAATTACTTGAGCCTTGCAGCCTGCATGATTACATGACTCTAAGAAAACTGTTATTAAGCAACTGATCCGCAGCTAAAATAATTCTGTGACCCCATATTGAGTTAATGCTTTTAAGGTCATTATAAGCCTGCATGAAAAAGAGAAAACCATCAAGTAATCCTAGATTTTGCATGAGTATTTAAATTAATGGTCAAGCAGAGAGACTGCTTATATCATGAATTCATAAGAAGTTAAAAGATTCAGTGTAGCCTCTCTCCATGGTCAACTCATCAATTTAATTAAAGGAGGAAGGACTCCTCAGTTGTGTGGGAGTCTCATTTGTAAACACAGACACAGATGGAAGAAGAGGAGTATTTCCACTCTCCATCTCCAGTGTTAAGTTTGAGAAGCCTGAGTTAGGTGGCTAGGCGTACCCGAAGCTCCCTCTGAAGCAGGCAGAGGCTTGGGACCTGAACACCCTAAAGGTGGTTCAGTACCTAACTTAGTCATCTACCTCTGCGTTGGTGAGTAGCGCAACTCAGCAGGAGTGGGTTTGTGGAGTGAGACAGTTGGTGCTGAGGACCCACTGCCCACAGTTTGTGAATTTCAGGGTTTTACTTCAATTTAGCTCATGGCTGGTCCTTATAAACTGAATGCGCGGTAGTGGCTGGAGTATGTTTCAGGCAAATCTCATTCATGTACAAAGACCATACAATTTGAATTAGTAAGTAAATGGTAACAATCTAAACTGCATTGCTGAGCGGAGCTACTCATGCAGAGTCATCCTCAGTCTCCTCCTGAAGCAGCTTGTCTTCCTCTGTGGACTGTAGAAGGGTCCACGGGAGATTGAGTGGCTAAGTGGGAGGGTGAAACTGGTTACCCAGAATGGAAATATTCCTCCTCCAAGCACGTTCATTGTTTTCAACTGTTGTTCATTATTAATATTCTGAAATGCTTCGCTAACTCAAACCACTCTGAAATGCTTTCTAGTATAGTACCCATCACTGGGACCTTGATATAGATGGTTGACCTTTTCCTGAAAGCCTACCTATTACACAATTTTTTTAGCCTTCTTTTCCTTTCCTGAAGAAGTTGAAGAATCCATAGAAGGGAAGAAACTTGAGGAAGTGTCAATTTTTCACACACTGCACAGGTCTCCATTCTGCCCTCTAGAATAAACCATCTAGCAGGTGCCATCACTACAGGGCCAGCCTGTGTCTGCTTTATCAGAGATCAGATTTGGTACAATAGTTCTTCTTTTACCATAGATACACTGTACAGTGATGGATGATAGATACTACCTAAAATAGCATGCGTAGAAGAGACATCTCTAGGATAAGCACATAAGATTTATGAGCCCACAGGTGCCTATAAATTGCTTTAGCATCCTCAACAATTACCTTTGCGGAGATAGAAATGACATGGAGCAAACAGAAGGTAAGAATGTTTGTAGAAAGTACCTTAAATATAATATTCATGGTTATGAAAGTGTATATGTATGTCTAAAATCCAGTTGTATAAGACATATGTATATGTATGTTAGGATCCTAGGGATCGGTTGATTCTGTTGGAGGAAACTGCTGAGTCTCATGCAGATGATTCACTACTGCCATCTTTATTCCAGATTGGTCCATGAGTTACTCCAATTTGCTTCATCTCCTCTGCCTCCACTTCTATTGCCTAGAAATACAAACACAAAAAAGAATATTTAATTGCACTACCTGCGTCCTCAAATTACATTTTTATCTATTTTATGCAGAAAGTGAATTTGTTCTGGTTTAGAAGATTTCTGTCCTCTCCAGCTAGTATCATCATACTCTGGGCTACTGCACTGTATTACAGTATGTGTTAAATTATTGCTTCTCCTGCAGTGAATAGCCTCCATCGTGACAACCACCTGGAAAAAAAGAGCAGTCACCTCTCAAAGACTGGAAAGGCAGCCATTCAGATACTTACCAGACTGGCAAGATCATTTTCCCAGAAGTGAACAGGTTATGACTCACTAGTAAAAGATGTAACAGATTTTTAATACAATGCCCTTAATTTTAACAACCTCCTAGGAGGGGCTCAGTGAGAGAGGACTTTTTTATCTCAGGCCATAAAGTTGAAGTAGTTACAGTCCTGCAAGCACCGTTTCAGCTTTTTAGGTTGTATTTATAAATAACCAGCTTAAACTTTGAGCAGATTGCAAGAACCATAAAAATTAGACAGACCAAACTGTGAATAAGAACATAAACTTGACTCACTTGTAGCTGCCTGGTGCAGAATATAGACAAAACACACATTTATCAGATGTGAGAGCGACCCTGTGCTTGGGATTATGGATAGTGACATGCAAAGATTCAAACTGTATTTACTAACAAACAATTGCAGCCCCTTTATCAACAGAGATGCCACTGCGAAAACGAGACAGAGCAGCTCTTCTAACATATGGTGTCTCTCCTGTCCATCCATTCTAAGTCACAAATGACAAAGGGGTTGTTCATTTTCCTGTGCACTCAAAACTGCCCTGTGGGGACCCTGGGCTCCCTGAAAGTGATGTGGCATTTCGTTGCCATGCCTAATATACAAACTCCAAGTAGGACAACCAAGGACAGGCAAAAGGAGGAAGCCTGGTCTGTGAGTTCCACAGCCTTGAGGTGAAGAAGAATGGCTTATGTCACCATTTCAGGGACAAATCAAGGTAAATGGAAGTCCTGTTTCACAGGAACATGAGGGGACAAATGGAGAGACAGCAAATCACTATAAATTCCTTTCCATCCCCTTCAGATATTCAAACAGAAGCAGCAAGTCCCCATTCCCAAATGCTCACAAACAATTCTCAGCTTCCAGATGACTTCTGGGTGAGTAGCTCTTCTGGATGACTGGGTTTTAACACCATCTTATTTCCCTCCTAACACTTCCTCTGCATGGGCGATGTCAGCGGCTTTTCACTCTTTGGGGGAAGAGGGTAGTTTTAGGAACAAGAAGGAGGGAAGAAGCTTATGAAGGAGAAACCCTGTGAGGCCGGTACTCTCCACAGCAAACTCCTTATTGGAGAGAGGAAAAGCATGAATCCAGCTGCTTTGCAAAGAGGAGTGTAGTAGCATCAAATCCTTTCAGAAATACATGTTACAGCAGCAGCCCAGTCACGGAGATACTTCTAATCTCATGCTTTTTCTTTGATGTCTGGCAATTGGGGTCTGCAGAAGAGCAGCTTATCTGATTCCTGCAGGCAGGTTATAGACCTGGGTCTCACGCTGCTTTGT